CATAATCATGTGGGTATTACATTTCACGCATTATATTTAAGACTCGATAAATTTGCTTACAATAAACTGTTATGAAAGAACCGTCGTCACAGATGGTATGGCGAAGTGAAACCGCTGCGGGGGTGTTATAGGTGTCCCTGCTGGCGATGTTGTTGTGTCTGTGAATGGCAACTTTCAAACGGAGAATCGACCGGATCTCTTTCTAATGTACCTAGGTATCTATCTCATCGAGGAGCTCGATGGCGCAAGTGGTTAGCGCGTTCGGCTGCGATCGTTGAAGTTAAGCAACTATCGCAATGGTCGGTCATTGGATGGGTGACCAAAAAATTTACTATCTCGAGCTCCTCCGTGCTTCGGAAAGCACGTTAAGCCGTTGGTCCCGGCTGCATCTGCAGTCGTTAGCACCCACCAATCCGCACTGGGCCCGTGTGGTGGGTCATGGCCCAATCTCCCTATTCCATCCATAGGGAAGGCCTGTGCTCCAGCAGTGGGGACATAAATAGGCTGATGATGATGATGAGGTATCTTATGTTTTAAGAGAGGTAATGCATAGCGGATTTTGCAATCGAATTGGAGAGCCCGTTAGGGGAAGTAACCTCCACCTTACAGAAGACTACAGTAAATTAACGCTACCTTTTGGTGGTGTTGTGTTTCTGTCGGTGAGGAAGGTTCCAGGGCTCCGCGGGGTAGGGTTTTTTTTATGTTTTAAGGGGGCATACGAGCAGACGGCTCACCTGATGGTAAGCGATTACCGTCGCCCATGAACACTTGCAACACCAGGAGTATCACAAATGCGATGCCGGCCTTTGGTATTGAGTCAGAGTAAGGCAACGGCGCGAATGATATTTCTTATATTGCAAGCGTCTATAGATTTTTGTGGCTGCTTACCATTAGGAGGCTCAAAAGCTCGTTTGCTACCCTTTAAACATAAAAAATGGGTATGTTTACAAACAAAAGAAATATTCTACCATAGCTTGGAAGGGGGATGGTGCAAGTGGTTAGCGCGTTTGATCTGCGATCAGTAGATACCCCCTATCACGAACCAATATCATAATCATAATCTTTATTTGCTAAAAACACGGTATATACAGGGCGTCCCACGGCTACCTCACACGGAGGGAAAGTATATTAAATATTAAAGATAGGATATTTTACTGAAAGAAGACATCATTTCATTTTTGATAATAACTAGAACTGCATTCACAGATTTTTTAAAAATCGACTGCTACAACTGGGAATCAAACTCGAGAAATTTCGAAAAAAAATACGACATATTTTACGATAACCATCGAAAGGGTTTATCATAAAGATTATTTTTTACTAATTAACATAGCATTTTAAATGAAAGGAATGTCTTATTACGTGATAAAAATAATAAAGTGATATACAAACTGTAGTACGTATGCATTTCTTTTTGAACTCAGTTACAATGCGATTGGCTGAAATTTGTAAAAATAATAATTCGAAAATAGAACACATATATTTTCAAGCGCCTGTACCCCTAGCACGAACCATTATCGAACTCGAATAGTTTGCGAGTGTGAAATGTCAATGTCAAATTTTGTATGGAAACTTATACAGCAGCACCACAAAGTACGTAACGAGAACTAAAAATCAGTACACATTTGTATGTCAATAAAATATACAATGTCAACATATTAATATTACAAGATTTCTAAATGTCAGATATAAAAAAATAATTAAAAAGATACATTTATAATAATTATTATAGGATAAGTTAAAACATGTCATTAATTTTTATAATTGAAAAAACTTTTTAGGTCATAAAAATTGTTTTCATTTAGCTATTTATATAATTTATTTTTAAACATTTTCATGTTTAGCATTTTCATGTCGGGAGGGATTTTGGATCGAATTCGAACAGTCTCGATTTTTTTATATTGCAAGCGTCTAAGCTATGGTAGCCGCCACAATCAGGTGGACAGTATCGTTGTTTGCCACCCTTTTAACATGTAACTTTGACGACCTCCGTGGCCGAGTAGTTTACACGCCGGGTTTCAAATGCCGGGTTTCGCCTCGATTCGAATCCAGGTGGGGGATGTTCGTGTGATGAATACGTGCATTTGTACCCCAGTCATGGATGTTTAATATAAATATAGTCATTTATATATATGTATACGAATTCTATCCGATATCCTAGTATCCCATAACACAAGCCTACAGTGCTGACTTTGCGGCTAGGCTAATTGGTGTGAGTTGAAAAAAACCGCTAATGGAGCCATGATTCCCGGTTATTTCGGGAGATCTTCCTTTTAGAGAAAAATAGCGCGACGTCTTCGGCGTGGTTTAAGTAATTATTGGTCTTTCATAGAAAATTCCAGCCCCATTTTACCTCCTTTAAAGAATATTTTTTGGGATAAACTATGTACCGTATCCTATGTCCTACTCCGGGACTCAAACTATCGACTCAAAATATATAAATACCACAAGTCATCCAAATCCGCGGTTTAAGCGTGAATAGGGAACAGATAGACAGACAGACAGACATATACACTTTCGCATTTATAATATAAGTACTACTACGAGTTTACAATACAAAAAGGTATGGATATCTGAATTTATACGTCCCAGATTTCCACTCGGAACTCCTGATTTTTTTAATGTAAAATAAGACTCGAATCAAAAATTTAGAACAGTAGTTAAGCTTTGTAAAATGCCTAGTTTAAAAGATACGGTGATATAATGTTGGTTTTTGATCACCTGCCTCTCGTATATTAATTTAGTAATTTCTTCGCACCATACTCCTGCCACTAATCAACATATGGAGTGGATAAAACGTACTTGGTTTTTCTAATTATAATAAAAAAAAATTGAGTTTAAATTGTTTGTGTTAGAACTACGTGTATAACATTACTAAAATGATGTCAGAAATACAATTTTGAGAAGTTCATTTGAGCTTTGACAATGATTTATGGCGACATTCAGGCGCTATTAATCTTAGAATATACAAAATTATCATGTATCTGAATTTAGATTTTTGCGGTGCCTTAGATGTGCTACATAAATTACAAATGGTCGTGCCATTTATTTAACTGCTAATCATTTTACAGTCAAAATTAAATAATTTAGTGCCTTCAACAAAAGAAAAATATTGATTGAAATTTTGTAGCATGAGAATTCATTTAGATAGATTTTTCATCAAGACAAAATTTACAATATATTTTCTTAAAATCTAGTTCATTTGTATTTCTTGTGAATCTTTCGATATTTTACCCACCTACGGCAAAGCTACACCCAAAATAGTTTAGAACTAAGTATATCAATAATGATCTGCGTAAGTTGAGGAGAGATCAAAAACATTTAGCTACGACCACCAAGTACAAAAAAAAAAGTTTGTTATAATTTTTTATAAGCATTAAATATTTTGAAACCAAATGGTTTGGATAAACAGACAGAAATGTGATTGAGCCCTCGCAGGAAAACGCACTCAAACTTCTGCTTATAGTAAAAAAAGAAATTAAACCTACTACAACAGGAATATGCCATTTGAACATTATGTTCTAAAATTAATATACTATGTATATATGAGTATATATGAGTATATATGAGTGTATTTATGTGTATGAGTGTATCTATGTATATATGAGTGTATTTATGTATATCTATGTATTTATATGTGTTTATTTGTTTTATATACTCGGTTTGTACATAGATTTTCTCGCGTATTATTGCAGTTAATTACACCGCCGTCTTTCCAGCTTCTTTCTTGTCCTCTCCATCCCAAGGTTGTCTGGAAGAGATCGCTCTTAGCGATAAGACCGCCCATTTTTACACTTTAAGCAGCCATTATGTATGTTTTATATATATTTTTTTTTTTTTTGTGGTGTAAAATAAAGAGTTTTTATTATTATTATTATTATTATTATTATTATTAAATCAAATAGCGCGCGCTTTCCTAACTTCCTGTTACACACTTCCGTTCCACTTCACGTAATCACTCCCACTAATTGCACGAAAGCGAGAGGAAAGATGTTACACATCAGAAATACTGATTGCAGATTTTAAATGAATTTAATAAATAAACAGACTTGCTTCGAACCAGCGTCTTTAGCAATCCAGATGAATGCACTGACCACTATGTTACAAAAGACGTGTCGAATTTCTTCTAGTATTTCTTAGGTTGCAAGGTAAATCCACCTATTCACACTGTAGGTAAACTTATTTGCTTGTTCACCAAAAGTTTCTTCATTAAACGGAAATCGAGCTGCAGCATCGCGAAGATGGCAGTGCCAATTTCACGGAGCTGAAGCTCATGCGCATGCCTCATCACTTCTGCCCGCCCTTACCTGTACGCGTTTTCAATTTAATTTTTCATTTTTATCTCTTTATGTATATCAATCAGCTTTTATCATATAAAGTTCACACGAAATTGTACAATAGAGAAAAACTGACACTTAAAAGAAGAAGAAAGAAATTTTATTGACCTTAAAGACATTTTTACAAAAACAGAACGCAGCAAGACATGCCAACTAGGTCCCTACCTAAGTTTAATACTACAGCAACACCAGAATTGCTGCAGCGCTGATAATTCCGGCAGGGCCTAAAACATTTTGTACAAGTATGTAGGATAGTTATTTGAACTTTAAAATGTAAAATTCTTGACTTTCGGCCACTTCCCAGGTGCTGTTGGGTGACCACAATAAGACTGTTGCTCTATCTCCTCTGCTGACTGTACTCAATCTCAGTTATAAATAACAAATAAGTACCGAAATATGAGTGTCAAACGTAATCTGCATTAGGCATGCCTCCTACCGGCACGGAATTAGGTCGCCCGCACAGTGTGGGCGCACCGCTTTACTAAGGTTGCCAGCTCTAAAAAGCCGAATAGCCGACTATCCAGTTTAGGCGAAAATATATAAAAGATCTTGCCGGAATGTTTTCTTTCATTTGTTAAATGCAAAGCATAGCTTCTTTCATTTGTTTTACCTATTTAGGTAATTTTGGCTGTCTTTTCTTTTCATTCCATTTGGAATGATACAGACAAAAGAAAAGTCAGACAGATTGAAAACACTTCACTTAATAGAACAAGCAGTTTGCTCCTTATATTTTACTGTGGCCTAGCCTGGTGTCACAGTCATGAACTTTAAAAGGCCAATATCCAGATGTCCCTAAGTCCCAAAAAGCGCAGAAGAGAAAGGTTCGGTAAAAAAACTGAGCCATAACATATATATATTTGAAATTTAAACACAAATAAAACGCTATTGTATACGCAGGTATTTGTTTATTTTGTTAAAAACATTGTTATTATCTTAATTAACTTTAAGAAAAAACCGTTTTAAATATGACGGACTTAGGCCCGTATTATAGAAAGATTCTCAGTGATTGATCTAGTCTTGAGCATAGTTAGGAAGGTATTTCGCTATATATAGCACATTGCGACATCCCTTTCTTACTGTACTTAAGTAAAGATCAACACAAAGAGTAACTTAGTTGTCATTCTGTAATACGGGCCTTAGATTCTAACAATCGGACTTAGGCACTATTATTAAGTATCTACTCAGTTTATTACTCTCTTTTAACCATTTTTGAATAACAATGGAAATATAATAAAATATTTTTTTCCCGCCGCCTCAGCTGTCAAAAACGAAGTTGAACAAACGTACGACGATATAGTTTAACGATAATATGACATTTTGCTTTTTTCTTAGTATTTTCAGGACAACTGTACCTACTTTTTAGTACAACATTGATTATGGACTTCGGAACTTCTTGAGGTAAAAGTTTATGACACTATAAAACTTAAGTACTTAGGGACTTTTATGCTAAAAACAATAAAATAAAAAAAGTTTTTTTTTCTGCACAAACTCTTTAATTAAAATCATTTAATAGTCAACCATATGGAATGTGAAGAGCTGATTTCAATTGTGTTTTCAGATTAAAGAGTCCCTAAGTGAACTAAGGGACTCCAGGACATTGGCCCTAGTTAGTAATATCTGTTAATCCTGTAATTTGAATATAAAAATCTTCGAACGCAAATAATAAAAAATAAGCCTAAATAATCCGGCTTAATCCGAAAGTCTGGCAACCCTACACTACTTGCTCGATAGTTCACCGATATTAAATACTTACTGACTATATAAATATGCAGATGCAAATAAACGCAATATCGCTTATCGCAAGATCTTAATACGGAGTTTGTGGTTCAAAGTTGTGAAGTCTAACTAGTTCATTAAGACGAGAGTTGTTTCTTATGTAAAACAATTTCATTAAAGGTCTTAACAATGTTAGTTTAGTTACGTCTCTATAAATAATGACAAAAACATCGAAATATTTTATTGTTAACCGACTTCATAAAGAAGATGGTTCTCAATTCTAGTTTTATGTAATTTCAATGGTGTCAAGAGGAGTCTTGTGGATGTAGGTAGGTACCTACTTAGAGTCCCCAATTAACTTTTGAGTTTGCTTTGTGATATTGAACATTTCTTTCCGATACCAATAGAAAAAGACCACACGTGACTGATTAGCAATAATTTTAATTGTCGTCTCAATGTTAATTAATTATTGTGGTCAAAATTTACATCAGTAATTAACTGGATCTTGATTATTTGAATAATACGTAAGAGACTCGTAATAATTATTGCAAGTAAACAGCGTGAGTAATCACAGAAGTAGGTAAAGAAAAATTAACACATCGTCCATAATTAGGTGTTGTTCATTCTACTCATTTCCTAATAATAAGAGAACTCTTCAACAGTATTAAAAAATGTACAATATGCGCATTTATGATTATGATTATTATTATATATAGTTAATTAATCGGTGACGATATAAAAGACTAGCAGCCTCCCGCGGCTTTGTCCGCTATAACTTTAGCTTAGTTTTTAGAGAATCCCTTAGGAAGTTAATTTTTTTCGGGATTAAAAATATCCCTATTTCACAATCCAGGTTATAAACAATATGTGTGCGAAATTTCATCCAACTCCGGTCGGCCATTTTTGCGCGATAGTAAGAAACATACACACTTGCACTTGTTAATAAAGCTGTATCAATTTTACGTTTTGAAGTACATAATGTGCTAAAATTATTAAATTTTTAAATATACACTTCCTGCCTATACCGGAAGTAGAATAAAAAAAACAACGCTTGGCTGTTCCCTTGAATGTACAATGGAAAATTAATTTTAACCGCTGTTCCCTCAAGGGAGAGTAAGAAAATAAGCTAAAAACAATTTGTATGACCCGTTCAACTTTTCAATGACAATAACGTATAAGTCGACTCCACATCGCGTTAATGACATCGTCGACGCCCGATCTGTAGGAGGCGAAGGAAATTTAAAATTAACATCCATAAAAGGAGTTCGTAACGAACTTAAAAATAGCCGTGAGAGTGTTCTTAAATAGGTATAACACTCGGGCCGTAGAAGGCAAGTAGATAGGTGAGGTGCATCCGATATGTGCGCTTCCGACCGGCAGACGGCTGAAATAGCCTCATCGCGCGCCAGAAACTAAATACCCAAATGCGTTTGTGATCGCCGCGCGGTTGCCAAATAAGGCACCAATCTCGGATTTCGCGCGCGATCCCGTCCGTCGCCGGCACAACATCGCCGGCCTGCCAAACGCGCTCTATTCCCGTCTAATACTCGTGAAAAAACACGTAAAAACAGTTTTTATTTTCGACTGAATGCCCTCTAAATTTAGGCCGTATGGAAACCGAAAGTAATACGAGCGATTTTGGTTGCGGCCGCGTTGTCTGTATTTAGATTAGCGGCGCGAGCGCAGGCGCGCGCTTGATAACTGCTCGCGTGCAACCAGTGCATTGTGCCGTGATACGCTGTGTGATACCATGTTTACATGTGAAGTGACAAAATTGAAAGGATTTTGATGTCAATGCTGCCTGAAGGTGGAGGTAAATGCCTACAACTGAATACTTTTATTTTTCGTTCTCGTGCAACAGCTTGCTCTACATTGTCGATGGGCGGTTATCAAATTTTTACGTCACCGCTATCGGTTATCGATTCGACTTGTGCCCAATGTGTTATTGATTAGTTTGTTAACCTCACTTTATTCAAAACAATGCCATATAATTTTTCCATTTCCATACCATTTACTTAGTTAAGATAAGTAGTATACAGTTATTGTGAAGGTTTATCAGATAGTGAAAATAAATAAGCATATCACTGGATCTTTCATTTAACATTAGTAAACAGAGATAGGTACCGAAACATTTTATGAGCGCATTACATACACTAAAGAAATTCAACTAAATTGATTGAAATTTTAATAAAAATACTTCAGATCTATTCGAGAAGGAAATAGGGAAAGACGTCAGTGGCATAAATTCTGAATAAAAAATAATATGGTTGCAATGATATGATAGATATTATAGGAAAATATCCAAATTTTCAAATTCAATAATAGAAATGACATATTGAAAACGTAGTCATTTCCATATTTTCAAAGAGAGTTCTCCAGTTCAGTATTTAAATTAAAAATAGATTATCTTGTTTGTCTACTATTTTGTATCTGTCTAGCTCTTTCTACTTATATCGAAAAAAAAACAATAAACGTGAAGAAAATGATTAAAGTTACGTTGTGACGTAACTATTTGACTTTTCTCTTGCTCGCTTATGAAAAAGAAAACAAAAAATCTTAGGCCAACTTGCACAAAACTTCATAAATGCAATTTAAAAGTTTATAACGGTTAAACCTCGTAATATCTTTATTTGAATTTAAAAATTGACTAAGATGGAAGGGTGTGTTAAACGGGATTAATTAAGCCTTAATGAATTAGGAATGTTGTAATAAGTGGCCGTTAGTAACTTGTTTTGTTATTATTATTGTTTTAATGAATACTTTGGATATATTAATATAATAGGGCAGGCAGTCATGCGTGTGGTTTGGTCTTCGGGTAATTGGTCACTTTAACCTTTAGACGCTTGCGCTACCGCCGTATCACACTTGCGTTGCCAAGTTCCTACTCTTACCTCGTCACTTACTCATCTGGACAAGGGCGTCGCCAGGGGGAGGGGGGGGGGGGGTAGTTAAGCAACCGAAGTCCCCAATTCAGTTATGAGACTTCCTGGCCTAAACAAAAATGACTATCTGTATCATATTCTTCTTATGGATATTATATTATTTCCGATCCTATCTCATTATTATCTTAGCTTCCTACTCTCCTTAATCTTGCTTTCTCTCAATCCTTCTCTTACAACCTTGCATCACACACAACCACCGAATTGAAAAACGGAATATAAAAAACCTTGATGCAAGTAAAACTTAAGTTTTTACATTGCCTTATTTTTTTTCGGCTTGTAGACATTTAATACCTACAGCAAACGCGTGTGCGGAATTTTGCTACTGACACTCTGTAATTGGTACTCCCAGCTACAGCCTTATTGGCCCCCCCACACTCTAGGTCATAGGTTGGCGACGCCCTTCCATCTGGATTGGAGCTCTGGAAATCTTCATTATATTTTTTTGATATCCCCAGTACTAGGGTACAAACTTTCCCTATGGATGGAATAGGGAGGTTGGGCCATGAGCATGACCGACGCGGGCGGGTGGGTCTAACAATTACAGATGCAACCGGGACTAACGGCTTATATGCTGAAATGCACGCAGGAGTAAATTTTTTATCACCCATCCTATCGACTGGCCATTGCGAACGATCGCAGACCGGAAGCGCTAACTGCTTGCGTCATAGTGCTCCTCTCATCAAAACATATAAAAATTATGGTTTTTTTTCTTATATTTTTAATAACCAAAACAACAAACAATTTTTATAGTATTTTATTAATAAACGAGGCATAATCCTAGATTACTTACGCCGTGTTTTCTTCATATCACTCAAATGTCATTTGACATTAAATGAATGATTAAATGTTTAAAAACTCTATTGATTAATAAATGTTATTACAGTGTTGATGAATATTTAAATGATAAAATGGTTTGAAGTTATTTATACTATTGAAAATATATTATTTGTTGATTTTATTTTGCTTTTAATAAATGTTATTATTATTTATCAAATGAATTTGAAATGTAAAAATGTAATTATAGTGTAAATTAATATTCAAATGATTTAATTATTTACATAATTGAGAATACTATATTCTCAATTGTGTAAATAATTGTGTTTTGTTTTTAAATCACTTTAAATAAATTTTATTTGCGTATATTTTATATATTTTGTTAGCATTATCTTTTTTACAATTAATAAATTTGTATACACATTATTATTATTATTATTCGTGATTTTATAGAATCAAATAATATTTAATACCTATTTTAATTTATTATAGATAGATATTATATAAATTATAATAGTCAGCTATGGTACTTTTTAGACTTTTTATGTAATCAAAGGTGTCACTCTCCCTCTGTAATTAATTGATTACTGTGCCCGACGGGGTCCATGATTGTGCATATTATTTTGTAACATCTTGTATAACTTATGGAAAGCAATAAAAAATTGAGTATTGAGTATTGAACAGAGACAAAACATGGAGTAACTAATCCAAGCTAAGTCTCCGTTAATAATAAGGGTGCAAAAGACTTAAGTAAATTAGCTCGACCTTGAGCGAATACCCTCCATTTTGATCAAGGCATTGCATACCTCAGTATTTGATGTTAATTTCAACTCAAATAAAACAAGTTTCAAAGCGTTAGATACACAAATTTTATTTATTAATTGACGTTTCGCACCCTTTGCAGGAATGCGTCATTTAATGAGTTATTTAATGAGTTATTTAATGAGTGATGTGCGTGAAAATCTAAGCAACTTAATTTCAACTTCTTTTAATCTTTTGAGTTAGAACCTTAAAAATAATAACTATTTTAGGTGCAGTTTTCCTCTCATTTATCTTTCTTCAGATTCCTAAATAGCGCTTAAAATGGTGGACTGGCTTAATTATTGTTGTCTAAAGACTATTATATAATGACGGTAAAAGCATGACTGTATATGCACCAAACTAACCCTTCGTTTACACCATGTTATAATACATGTATTTAACAAATTTTATACAATGTCTTTATTTTTTGTTCACACTATATACATGTTTAAAACATGTTGTATACAATACATACTTGCATCAAACATTTTGGATAAACAAAATATGTGAAGTAAATAAGTGATTTATACTGGTAAGTATTAGTTGTCTATGCGGTGCAAACGGAATAATGTTTTAAACAGCCACAACAAGTATTCTACAAGTTGTGTTTAAAAGGTTTAAAAATAGTATATGAATTGTATCTTGGTGGAAACGAGGAGTAATCAGGATTTCTAACACTGCAGTGACTGAAAGATAAGGATTGCAAATAGATAATGTTTACTTTGTAAATAATAAGTTCTTCTTTCTTACATCTATATAAAGTAAAAATCCACAAATTTCGTGCTCTAGAGGACTTGAAAGGGCATTGGAAATGAATCTACCTATTAAAGTTTATTAAAAAAAAATTTTTTGTTCAAATCCAAAAAAAAATATTTAAAACCAACTTTTCCAACATAATTTATTTCGTCTAAAAGCCCTTCGAATTCCGCATCTTTTGAGCACTCATACGTCCTTGTGGCCTTAAACCTAAGGGTTTCACGCGCGAGTCGCACTTTCAGCGAAAATGGGAGCCTACTGGAGCGACGAAAAATCATTTTCAATGTTAAAAATAAAATAAAATGTATTTTTTTCGAAAACAAAGTCCATAGTGTTAGAAACAATAATATAATCTTAAAAACTATTTTAGTACAAATAGGTATCATAATTAATTTTATTGTCTTTGGCAAGCTGGAAGCAAGTCCAGTGCCGCATAATGGCACTGTCCACATCCAGTCTTGCCGCGGCCGTCTTCAGGAGGCTGTTGGTGCTGCCTCGCACTCGCTGTATTAGGGACGCAATGCGCTTTCTAATGATGTCCGAGATGCTATCGACCTTGGCTGCTGCTAGCCTCTCTGACGCACTGCAGTGTCGTGGCAGTTCCACCAGCCCCCTGAACGGATTATTGTATTGAGTGCGCAGGGCCCTGTAAGCTACTTGGGTGTACTTTGTCCATAGGCTGCATGTGTATATGTATATATGTGTGTGATTTTAACAGCTGTTTTGCAACGAGCAAATCCGCGACAAATCACATGGTTCTTTTATAAAATTGTCGAGGTAACTTTTATATAATATACCTACGGAAAAGTAGGTTATCTGCGATAAGGACATTAATTAAAGCAACATATTCACAAATTTGTTTATAGCACTTTCGTCACCTGCTAACATTTCCGAGCAAACATTTTAGATGATAACAGGCAACATGTTAATTTTCTTCCTCCCAAATAACTTTTGTCTAATACTTAAATGGGATTGATGTTTATTCTACATTATTCGTCTGTCGATTCTTCTAGAATATTGATGGATTGAAAACCTCCTTTTTAAAGTCGGGAAGTAAATGTGCAACTTTGTATGTTTATGTTAGTTTGGGTGTTCTTGTTTTGGAAATAATCTTCTTACGTATATCCCGGAAAAGTGTTAGGTTACTGTGGGTATTAGATGTATCTATTGTGCCACTATAGAATTTCTATATATATTTTTTTTTTTTTTACCTCGTATATGCTCTAAGGGACATCGACTACTTACTACTACTAGGTACTTATGCAAACAAAATTGAAGAAGAGTTTCAATACTTAAAAAAACTGGAGTTAAGTCGAATATGTAATAAACAAGGTTTCGTTAATTTTTTATTGCCAGAAAATAACCAAAACAAAGAGACTGAGACAGTAAAATAAGCCTACCTTCTAATGCAAAGGCTACATTACAAAATAACTCTACATTTTGATCAAAGATTGGTGTTACTTTTGAAAGATGAAGGTTCTTTCCCCAGAAAAATAGACAGTGTATTCATTTGATTAGCAACTCTCTAAAACACGTGTTT